ATTTAATCTTTTCATCTCTTATTATAACTCTTGTTTTCTTCTTTTTATATCCCGATTCTTTTAATAATCGATAATAAGTCCTTTTTGAAGCATTTTTGAATGACAATTTTTTAATGATTTAGTTTTATCGATTATTTGATTCAATGATGGAGATTTATTATTTTTGTGAAACTTTTTAATAGTTTTATCAATAATAGTAATGTCATCCATTATAATAGTGAATCTTTTGTTTTTAGGACCTCTCTTTTTTGGAGATCCTAAATATCCACTAAAAATAAAAAAATGCGTCAATATGGAAGTGCGGAGGTTTAAATTTATACATACCTTATAACCTTATAAATAGAAGCTCTTGACCTCTTAAATTGAACCATTAATTGTTGAACAATTTGTTCTGTTTTCATATTTGTTTGAGATTTAATATCAGTAAAATTTTGTGATATTAATTCTCTTATTTCTCTTGTCATTGCAGATGTTTTGCCTCTATTTGGGCTAATATTTTCCATAATTAATAGCTAATTAATAATTAATATAATATTATAACTAATTTATCACATTTAATATAATTTAATTGCACTAATATAATTGCACGTGTATTTGTTGACAATATTTGTGTCCCTTTTACAAATCACATGTTTACAAGCGTGCGTTGCTATAGTAACTGAAAACTACTAAACGGTTATTAGTATACAAAACTATGGCATAAATGATATATATATATATATAATATTGAAATATAAATATTTTTTTAATTTAAAGGGTGATTCTGGCGGACCATTGATACAGTTTGTCGGCAATCGGGTCGTACTTATCGGTATACAGAGCGGTATATCGGGTACAGTTGGTTGGTGTTTGAGCCGACAGTCTGGCTCTCATATGGCATATGCTGTCCAATGGATAGTCAATACAATTAATAGTATTCAATAAACAACAAAACTATTATTATTATTATTCAACTATTGATATTAACTTGTACTGAAATATATATACTGAATATATATATATACCGTATATATTATAAACGATATATATTTTTAATATTAAACTTATATATATATATATATATTCATTTATTTATAATTTATAATACATTTTGGATTTAATCAATAATACAGTTTATTATTAATTAATATATTATATAAATATAATTGATACTATTATTATAGTATTAATATTAATTTTATAATATTATTCAGCAAATAAAACTAATTTTTAATTAATTATTGTTAAATTAAAAGATTGCCAAATATTTAAATACAAACATTTAAATAAAGATTTAAATAAAATAATAATAATAATAAATCAATAAAAAATAAAAACTGTTTTAAATAAAAATCTGATAATAATTATTAATTACTATATATTTATTTAAACAGTACTTCTTTTTGATGGTTTTGTTTCACACCAATGAAGTCGTTGTTGTTGTCGATGTAAATGACTGTCTGTTTTGGATACCAATAGTCATCCAATGCCTTGAATTGCATCGACTGTTGTGTGACTACAACACTATCCATCAGTAGTAGTAGTAATACTGTTGTTGTCGTTGACATCGATTTCATCCATCATTTGGTTAGTATTTACCGGTATTTTGTTAAACCATTACTTATATATCTTAATAATAATTACACAAAACACTATCAATTGTTACCATAAGTGATGCGCTTATAAGCAATAAATTGCTTTCATTTGGATAATCAATTTGACCTTTAAATGTGTCATCTAATTATTTTTTTAGTTTATTATTGATAATAATAATAATAATAATAATAACGTTAATACTTATAAAAATAAATAATTATTAGTTTTTAACTTACTTAGCATTGAATTGTTATATACAGTTGTTGTCATTTTATGATTGAATTATTTTTTTTTTAGTTTTGCTAATTAAATATTTAGTATAAACTTAAAAAATAAACTTTTTATTTAATAATACTTTATTAGTAGCAAATAATACTAGTGTATAAAACATTAGTGTAAAACTAAATTTTTTTAATAATACAATTTTATTGATAAATATAAACATCCACATTTTTGTTGCATATTATTAATCAATGTTTATATCAATTTGTTATGATTTTTAAATAAAATAGAGTTAGTTTACAATAGAGAAAAAACAATATATTTATAAATATATAATAATATTGATTAGTATAAAATAATAATAAAATATTATATTATAAAATTAATTAAACTAAAAAAGCTTTTAAACTAAAAAATTAATAAACATTTTGATTAAAAATTATTTATTCAAAATAATAAACAATATAATATAAAGGTATTATAATATTTTTTTTAAAAAATCAAATTAAATTATTTTGTAAAAATTTTAAAGTATGATTAATAAAATAATTATTAATAATGTTTTTTTTTAAATTAAATAAATAACTGTTATATATTGTAGTTGTCATTTTGTGTTTTAAATTTTTAGTTTAAAAAAATTGATATTCAATACTAATTAATAATAATAGTAATACTAATAATAGACACTTTTTAAAAAAATTTAATAAAGTATGTTATAGTAATGTTAAACTAAAATTCAATACAATTTTATTGATAAATATAAACATCCTCATTTTTTATGAATTAATAATCAATGTTTATATATGTTATGATTTTAAATAGAGTTAGTTTACACTAAAAATAAAAACCAATATTTATATTATAATAATAAAAGACAATAATATTATTTAATAGGAGACATAATATTATACTATTATTTAAAATAATAATTAATTCGTAAAATTCTAGAATAAAAATACAAATTAATTAAAGCTTTTTAAAATCAAATTAATAAAAAAATTTATATAAACAGATATTTTAATGAAAAATTATAAATTAAAAAAAATATGATAAACAATTTAATATAAATCCAACGAAAAAAATATTAAATACTAGTAGGTATTAAAAAAATTATTT